CTCCTCCTCCTTCTCATCCTCGTTCTCCTCCTCCTCCTCCTCCTCCTCCTCCTCCTGCGCTTCTGCCTCCTCCTCCTCCTCCTCCTCCTCCTCCGCCTCCGCCTCCTCCTCCGCTTCCTCCTCCTCCTCTTCCTCCTCCTCTTCCTCCTCTTCCCCATCCTCCCCATGCATTTCTTTTCCGTTGTGAATAACTCCTCCGCGTCGCACCATGAGACGTGTCGGTAGGGCGGGCCGGATGTTTCGCCTGAGACTCCCTCTCCCTCACTATTGTTGATCATCAAGCTTGAACTGTGCAACAGTTTCACGGATGGAGGGGGGGCTCTTTCAGAAGGAGGCTCTCGCCATAGCGCCGAGCACACGCGTGTCACAGATTTTGCAATAGTTTAAAGGCTTGGCGGCGGGACGCTTTCAAAAAATGGCCTTCGCCCTAGCGCAGCGCACATTCAACTGGCTCGCGCCGACGCGAGAGCGCGAGGGCGGGGAGCCCCCAAAGGGGGAGGGACCGCACTCAATTGAGCAGGGACCGACCGTCCCGGCAGTCCTTTAGGACTACCACGACATGTTCTCAGACGAGACAGTCCCAGCCAGAGATTTTCTAAGAGCATTTCGTAGAAACCACAGAAGGTTCTTAGAACATTGCTTGGTGGGCCTGTAGGCACGCCAGGACGCTTCGCCACTGCTTGGCTCAGAGCACTGGACGAACAAGAGTCGGCGGTGAACAAACCTCCCTTTAGTAAACCGCACTTCAATGAAAACGGCCTGGGACCGAAGCTGGCGGACCTGGACCCGCAAACATGACGGCCGCGACGCCCTCTCGCGAACCGAAAACGGCCAATTCGCTAATGGACGTGCCAGGGTAGGAGGTCGATCAACCGCCGAGAACTAGCCAAAACATCGTCCACAGACTACATCTTGACTGTTTATGAACACTCCTCCTGTAGAGGGACACGCCCGACTTCACACTGAGCGAACGCGGGGAGCGGGAGCGGCGACGAGCGGCGGCGGCCCGAACCCAACCCGATCCAAACCAACCCAACCCGAAGACCCGAATTTGACACCGAATTTCGGGTTTGGGGGGGTACGGATTCCACGTAAGGAGCCGAACTCTATACACCGACCCTTTTCCCGGCCCCGCACTGGAACCCGCTCAGGAAAGCGGATCCTGGTGTATACGGGATCCTGGTGTATACATGTTTTGTTGTTTCCCAAGGAATCGGAGAAACACACATACACACCACCTCGACGTCGTCCCCGACCCTCCGAAAGTCCTGGGATTGAAAAACAGCCCGCCACTGATAGTGTATAGACTCCAGTTTCCGACCATGCGTTTTCTCAACGCTCCCCGACACCCCCCACCTGGAAGTGGGGAAGTGGAGGGCAGATTGAGGCCGTCGGGTTGGGTTGGGGTGCTTTGGTGGGCGGTGACGAGGAGCGGGAGCGGCGACGAGCGGCGGCGGCCTGGTGGAACTCCTGCACCGGCACGGTGCCGCCCAGCAGGTCCGCCGCCGCTCGCCCGGCGTCGGCCCCTGCGGGCGGGCGGCGTGCGGCGACGTGCGGTGGGACGCCGCCGCCGCCTGCGACGCCGACGACGCCGACGACGACGAGGACGAGGGCGAGGACGAGGATTAGGTCGGGCGTGTCCCTCTATAGGGGGATCTGGGACGACAGATAAAACAAATACCCCAAACATGCTCAAACATAATCATCAAACAATAAAAGATCGTCCTCAGCCTATTCTTTTCAGGCCCGACTTAAGACGACGGCGACGACGACGACGAGGACGAGGACGAGGACGACGACGAGGACGAGGACGATGACGCCGACGACGACGCCGGCGACGCCGCCGCCGCCGCCGCCGACAACGACAACGACGACGCCGCCCAGCGGCCGAGGGCGACGACGTTGCGGACGAGCACGACCGCGGAAGCGATGGGCGGCGGGAGCGGGCGCGGGAGAGCGGGAGTGGGGGATAGTATTGCAAATTCATTGCGCCAGAGAGTTGTATTGCAGTGTGTTGCAAATCATGTATTGCACGCGAAAGCCCAGCAATACATCGGCGCCTCATAATGTGTTACACGCCCCAACTCGCCTGCAACCCCACAAATGTATTGTTGCACCAAAAATATATTGCACCACCCCCTTGTCGCTGACCCATTGAACGAACGACCCTACCCTTGGTTACAAGTGCGTGGTCTGTAAACCTCGTGGGAACCCCCAAAGCCTACAGAGCCGCCAGGACGCCGCACATCACGCAGGGTTTGCCCTGTCAGCCCACAGGAGTTTCAGCGCACAGCGCCTCGTAAACCAGGGCAAGGGCGTCTTCTATGCCCTTGAATGTTTGGTCAACCCGAGGGGCGCGGAGGACGGCTCCAGGGGAGACGACGCGCAGCTCGGAAAGCAACGGCGGGAGTCCCGAGCCTGTCGCCCGCCCCCGCTGCGTCGCAGGCCGCGTCTGGCCCACGGGCGGCGCCGCGGCCGCGAAGGGCGGCTCCCGCAGCACCTGGCGCCGCAGGCAGGCCGCCCCACGCGCCTCTCGAGCGCGGCCTCCCCTCGAAGGGCCATCTGGGCCCACTTGAGAGCAGTCGCCCCCCCTCTGAACCATCATGCGGTGTTGGGTCTTCGCTCTGACAGAACATCCTTCCCCTCCTCCTCCGACTCCTCCTTCCCCTTCCTCCTCCTCCTCCTCCTCCTCCTCCTCCTCCTCTCCTCCTCCTCCTCCTCCTCCTCCTCCTCCTCCTCCTCCTCCTCCTCCTCCTCCTCCTCCTCCTCCCTCTCCTCCTCCCCCTCCTCCTCCTCCTCCTCCTCCTCCTCCTCCTCCTCCTCCTCCTCCTCCTACTCTTCCTCCTCCTCCTCCTCCTCCTCCTCCTCCTCCTCCTCCTCCTCCTCCCGCGTCTTCGTTTCGGCACACCGCTCACGCGCTTCGTGGAGCGACAAGGAGCTCCACCGAAGGCCCCCGCGGCAGGGCCCACATGCGCCACGCGTCTCTCATTTGGCCCCGCAGGGAGCTCCACCGAAGGCCCCGGTGGCAGAGTTCGCATGGCGGCCCCGCCCCATGCCAGCACACCCCTCACACGGTTCGTGGCCACGTCGGGAGGTCCACCGCAGGTCACAATGGCAAAATTCGCATGGAGGCCCCCCGGGTCTACTCTGATGCTCCACACTTTGGGCGGCAAGACGTTGTCCAGGGGGGGTCCGGCCCTGCTAGTGGCTCATCTTCGAAAGGCTGGCAAAGACCATCTGCCTCCTGATCATCCTGCTGATGGATGGATTGGCCAACCATCTCGTCGAAAGAGTCCCCTGCAGAGTCCAGTGCTGGCTGTGACTGTTCCTGGGAGGCCTGGCCAGCATCCCTCGAGAAAGGCCTCCTGGCCCCAGCCCCAAGCCGCCTAGAGGCGGGCCAAAGGGGCCCCGCAAAAATTATGTCCAGGACCCCTGCCTGGTCGTGGGCCCGAGAACCCCTGGGCTTGCTGAGTTCCCAGACAGGCACTTACAAGTCCGCTCATTCTACCCAGCTACTGCCATGATTGTGTTCACTGGCTCTCTTCCAGGCCGCCTTGTCACGGGTGGCAACTAGAGCGAAATCAATCAACTCATGGTCCGAATGCAAAAGGTTGAACGCTTCTCCGTCTACATACATCCAACTGTCTGCTTGTTAGGGGGTCCAACCCGCCTTCAAAAAACAAGCAGCCGTGGCCACTATGAAGCCATTGACCCGCGTCCAACGGGTGCCGTCCTCCTCGAGTCTATTTCTGGACTGGCCCCAAGCAACTAGGAGCTTGTGCTCACTGGCTTGGAGAAGGGAGGGCAAGAGGGCCACCAACTCGTTCAGGACTCGAAGGCGGATGGAGATCACAGGATCGTGCGCGGGGTCTTCAAAAGCGCACCGCACAACTGTCGTCACACAATCTCCTGGCTTCCTCGCCGCATGCCAGCCATGGTAGCTTTAGCTTGATGGGGCATTGTCAGGCTGACCCCTTGGGCTTCGCTGCCCCATAGGGCTTGGTGAATACATCCAGTCCTGACCAGACCCTTGGCTCTATGATCAGGCTTGACGTCTCGACCGACTTTAGACGCGCGATGCTTGGCGAATCCCCTGTTTGAAAACTGCAACCGAACACACCATACCTTCATCTCCTATCCCTAAGTCGTTGCCTGCGTGACAATGGTGGAGGTCATCGGCCAAAGACTCCAGGGCCATCGGTGTGGGCCTCATGGGCCGTCCGTATCTCTGAGAGAGCGTGATCCACCGCCGTTTTACTGTGGAAAATTGCCGCCCTCTTCCTCCGGAACCCGGGGTTCCCCCCCCCCCCCCTCCTCCGAAATCCCTCCCCCCTGCTGGAACCCCCCCCCCCTCCCCCGCAACCCCCCCCCCCTCCCCTAAAACCCCCCCCCCCCTCCCCTCGAAAACCGGGAGGGTCACTACAGGTTCGAACCGCCCCCCCCCCCGAAAACCGGAGGGTGGTCACCGGTTCGAACCCCTCCCCACCCACCCCCACTCACCGCCAGCAAACGACTCCCGGTCCCCACTGTGCGTGATCCAATGTGTAGCAGCAGTATTGTGCATGGTATGTGCTCTGTAATGTTTCGGCTTAGGCGCTTTGACCAGTTTTTAGCTACATATCAAAAGCATCGAGCGATATCAGCGATATCCGCCACGTCAGTGGCAGCGGAGCGGTTCACCCGCGGCTGTGCCGGCGGCGCCGGCACTGTTGGCCTCAGCGAGGCCCTGGCTGCTGCGCGGCCATCTGCAGCGCAGAACATCAACTTCGACGATTTCGTGGCGGTTTTGATGCTTGGATTTGTCTTGTGGCTGTTTCTGTATCTCGTCGGAGGCCCGACGACGCTAGCAGAGATGACTTCCAGCCAAGATGACGACAGGTATCAAGGATCAGATGCCTACGTCCCACACTGGGACGGCAATCCCGCTTCCTGGCACACGTACAAGGACGAGGTCAGGATTTGGACGCTAGGACTGAATTTAGATGTTCCATATTCGCTCGCAGCTCGGATGATTCGCAAGCTCAAGGGTGCAGCGAGACGGAAGGCCCTCACGCTCACGAATGAACAACTGCAGCCTTTTCGTGGAGTACCTGAGCGACGAAACGATGAAGGACTGATCATACGCGAAGGAGTTCCACCGGACCTCGAGCGGGGCATCCGCAACTTGATGGAGGTTTTGGAGACGCTTTGCCCGCCGAAGGTTAGCAGGAAGGGCGAGACGATGGCGGACTTCTTCGAGACAATGAAGTACCAGCGTCGGTTGGGCACGAGGATTTCTGACTACATCACGGTGTTCGACCAGGGAGTGACTCGGCTCATCGATGATGGAGTTGACTTTTCGGACGACTCTGACATCCTGGGCTATTTCTTCATGAGGCGACTCAATATCACAAAGGAGCAGCGTGAGAGACTGATTGCGGCACTACCGAGCGAGACGTTCCAGCTCCGAGAGGTTCAGACCACAGCGATGCGGATTTTCCAGGACATACACCTAACAGAAAGAAGCCTGCCTCGACGACCTGACCCCAAGCGGCCACCTCACAAGGGAGCTCGACCTCCGGTGAAGCAGGTGAATGCCACCGAGATCGAGGACGACGAGGACTACGACGACGAGGATCCCGACGGGGACGGCGTCGAGGAGCTGGTGCAGCCCGAGCTCGAGGCCCTCGCCATGGAGCTCAACGAGGTGAACGAGGACGACCTTGATCAGGAGCAGCTGGACGCGGTCGAGAAGGCGGCGGTGCAGCTCACGGAGTTGCCGGAGGCCCTGGCGACGGTGCGCAACGCGACGAGCAGCATCAAGAAGGGCGGCGGCTCCTCCGGCTCTGGAGGCGCCGCGGTGGCTCCAAGAGGACGCGGCGGCGGACGCGGCCGCAGTGGAGGCCGGAAGCCAGGCCGCGGAGGCAAGTTCCAGCCGATCAAGGACACGCTCGACGGCAGGAAGAAGAAATCACAGTGCAGGGTCTGCTACCAGTGGGGCCACTGGTCGGGAGACCCAGAGTGCCCAGGCCGGCCGCAGGAGGTCGCCGCAGTGACGAACGAGACGCAGCTCGACGACGACGAGATCGAGGTCCTTGCGGTGGAGATGCCGGTGCCCCTCGCCGTGCTCCAGACGGGGATCGCTCCGCCTGGCGCCATGTGCAGGAAGGGCGCGGTCGACTCGGCGTGCGCGAGGAGCGTGATGGGCACACCCTGGTGGGACGACTACTACGGCTACCTGAAGGCTATCGGCCTGGACAAGGAGGTGACCTTCGAGAACGTCACGGAGACATTCAAGTTCGGAGATGGTGGCACGGCGGATTCGGCAACGAGAGTGAGGTTCCCGGTTGCGGCGGCCAAGGTTCCACACTTCATTAAGGCATACCTGTTGGACATCCCAGGCCTCAGCCTACTCCTTGGACGAGATTACCTGGAGTCAGTACACGCCGAGATCAAGACATCACCGCCGAGAAGGATAACCATTGGACCACATCGAGCAGAGCTTTCACAGGACAAGGCGACTGGACACTACATGTTGGATCTGAACCCAGATGCCTACCACGTGCTGCGCAGCCATTCCGAGACCAAGAGCGAGTTGGACGAACTTCCCCGAAGGCTTCGACCGAGGACGAGTGGCAAGTTGGCTTCAAAGATCACGGCACTCATATGTGGAGCTTCGGCGGTTACCACGACCGGAGGCCAGACGTGCAACGTAGAGGTGGTGAAGGATTTCGTGAGTATCAACGAGGTTCAGAGTATGAAGAACATGACCTTTCTCACGAGCGCGGAAGTTCAGGACACGATAGTTGAGACGATTGGTGGAAATGAGTGCTACGTATGTGCGAGACCGACGAGTTTCACTTGCCCTTGTGGGTTGCATTCCTGCTCTGGTTGCGTGCGAGATAGATTTTGTCCTGGCTGTAAGTACGACGTGGACATGGTGGGTTTCGTGGACGGCGATTTCTCCAACAGCGTTCAGAATGGCACTTGGAAGTTTATGAAGCGTGGCCAGCACAAGCAAAATCTTTCGGGGATCACTAAGGCGAAGACGCTGCACGACCATAACGTGATCCCGAACCGTGTGAGGAAGTTGATCCAGCTCGAGCAAGCAGATGAAGTTCATGGACAGGCAGTTGCAGCTACACGACGGGGACGCCCAAAGAACTACAGCCTGTTCGAGTTGGCATGCGAGCCCAATAGCAAGCTGGGGAACGAGTTCAACAAGGCCGGACGGACAGATAAGGCTTTCCGAGTTCATCTACCAAAATGCGACTTACGCAAAAAGGGTACTGTCGAAGGGTCGTTGGTGAAGATCAAGCGCGAGAAGAAGAATGGCAACCTACCGGTTCTTTGGATCAGTATCCCCTGCACTCCGTGGTGTACATACCAGCGACTTCGGAATTCAAGGACGTTGGCACAACGAGTTCGACTGAAGTTAAAACGTCACGAGAACAGAAAGATACTTCGTAATGTACTTTGGCTTCTTCGAGAATTACGCCCACGTTCGATACCTACAGGCTT